GGCACCAACAACAGAATGACTGTCTCCTCCACCCCAATTTCATCTCCCAGTGTAAGCCTCCCACTGCCAGAGGAAGATCTGGAGCTGGAACCAGAGGAACTGAGCGCCCTGGCTCAAGCAATTCTGTGGACTGAGGAGGAATCTCAGTTTGTGCTCCACACCCTTCAAAGTTCCCCTAGACCCAGGTCTCCTTCTCTGGCAAGCACCTCAGAGGAGGGTGAGGTTGTGGAAGTTCAGGTAAGTGGCTCAGCTGAGGCAGGTCCCCCTGCTGTTGTGCCTCAGCCTGCTGAGGAGGGGAATAAGGCAGGATCCCCACCCTCAACCCAGAAGTGGGGGAGTAGCATAGTGTGGGGTCATTTTGAGGTGGCAGATGATCCCAGATTTGTTATCTGCCAGCACTGCCAAAGGCAGATCAGCCAGGGCAAGGAGGTGAAGCACTTCACCACCACAGTGATGCTGCTGCATCTCAGAAGGCAGTACCAGCACTGCCTTGCCCTTCTTCCTTCTCAGCCTGGCATCAGTGCAAGCGTGCCCAAATGAAGCCCTTGCTCACTCCAAAGCCCCTGTCCCCTGAAATCAGAAGCAGGCCATCCTGGAGCAGTGGGGGAAAGCTGCAGACAGAGGGGGGCACATTCCCAAAGCGAGTAAGATCACCCAGACCATTGGGGAGATGCTTGCTCTAGATAGCCAGCTCTTCTCCTTAGTTGAGCGGCCAGGTTTCAGGCAGCTCATGGCACTCATGGATCCATCTTACCAAGTGCCTGCACACACCACCATTAGCAGGACAGTGGTGCCCTCCCTGTATGAAGCATGCAGGGAGTACTTGAGGGAGGAGCTGCGCAAGGCAGGGCTGCAGGTAGCTTTGCACTTCAGCTCTGACATCCAGAGCAGCTAGGGTAGTGATCACACCTACCTCTTTCTAACAGGGTACTGGTGAAATCAGTCAGGCCACAAGTGGGCTCTCCCCCAAGCCGATGTGATGGATGAGTCCCACATGGCAAGGGAGATCATGGTGGCCATGAACTGCATTGTACAGGGTGGCTCATTGTGCAGGCCAAGCTCACCCATGGGTTCATGGTCAAGGCAGTGTGTGATGCCAACTTTGTTGGCATCCTCTACGTGGCACACAGGCTGCACCTCATACTTAGGAATGCATTGGAGGGGAACAGGGCTCCCAGTGACAGCACTGTCACTACCACAAACAGCCAGCTTATTTCAAAATGCAGGAAGGTGGTGGGCTACTTCCACCGGAGCATCAAGGAGGGCTTGATGCTGTGGGAGAAACAGGCAGAAATGAGCATGCTACAGCACAAAATCATGCAGGCTGTGGAGACTCGGTGGAATTCCACCTGATGCTTAAAAGGCTGGTGGAGCAACAGGAGGCATCCATGAGATGACCTTGCTCAGGGAGATTGGGATCAGTGGCCCCCTTAACAAAACTGAATGGGAAACTGCTCCTGAAACTGCTAAAAGCAAAACTCATGTCACTTGCTGGAAGTGACAGCATTCTGTCATCCTGGATCTGGGGGCTTACACCCCTGGGAGGGCTTTGGGGTTGTGCCAGACTCTTCCTAGGGGCGTGGGGCCCTGGATCTGTGCTCAAGATGACGGGAGGCTGCCGCTGCTGCCTACAAATGGTGCTAGCCACACCGCACACCCAGCACTGGGAAGACTGGTGCTGCCACTGGCCCCAGGCAACAGCGGCAGCCTCCTGTCATCCCGTGCGCAGATCTTGGGGCCAACACCCCCAGGAGAAGTCTGTTAGCACTGGGAAGGCAGGTTGAGCTCCATGGGGATGTGGGAGTTGCTCAGAGCACAGGCCTGGCTCTCCCCACCTCCCGCCACTGGGTTGTACTCTTGAGTGGCTCTGCCAGCCCCACGGAGCTTAGCCCTGTGGTGGGAGAGCCAGTGGTGGAGCTGCTCAGAGTACAGCCCTGGTGAGTACACCCCAGCTTTGGGAGGCTCCGCAGCCCCACAGAGCTGAGCCTGGGAGCAGAATGTGGGGGAGAGACACTGGTCAGAGCTGCTCTTGGAGCGACTCCTCCACTGGCTAACCCACCATCTCCAGCCACCTGTCTGAGCTCCGCGGGGCTGGTGGAGCCACTAGAAGCACAGCCCCGGCTCTCCCCCACCTGCCACCACTGGGCTGCTTTGAAACTCGAAATGTTCTGAAACTTTTGAAAAAGTTTCGATTTCCCTCGTTTCATTTTGAAGCCTTTTTTTTTGTTTCAGTTTCACTGTTTTACACTCAAAACACATTGAACCAGCTTCAAAATGAAACACCCAATGAAATTTCACACAGCCCTACTTCTAAATATCTTCCTACAAGAAGGCATAAGAACTTTTATATTCACAAAGACAAAAGTAGCGAGAAAATGGTAAAGAATGTTAAAGGTCATATGAAAGGATTGTATTAATAGGTCAGAGACAAAAGAAAGACCAAGGAAACTGGGTTCACTGTTCAAGAGAAATCTCTTACTAGGAGATTAAAAGCAAACAGCTCTGCCCGGGAAGTAATTTGCCTCAGTCTTCAGAAGACAAAACAAAACCCAACAACAAAAACAAGACAAGAAAGGATTGCCGCCAGCTAGCAAAATAAATTCAGATAGACAAAGAAAGGGAAGGATAGAAGTTCATGAACAAAAATTTTCCAACATGCTCTTTAGTGGTAAATGTGAATGAATTTAAGTCGGTAAGACATGATGCAATTCATCACAGATGCTGAATTAACTGACTGAAAAACTCTCAAAGAAGAAATTTCCAAACCATGAGCAATACTATTTGGAAAGTAAGCAATGGGAGGTGACATTGCAGAGAAGGATGGATGTAAAGTCTGTATGGAAAAAAGAAGAGAACGGAGAACTCAGGAAACCAGTTAGGCTGACTTCAAGGTATTAGAGCCATTCATTGATAAAGACCTGGAGGAGGAAGGAACAAGCATTAGCAGCCAGCATGGATTCTTTTTTTTTTTTCAGAATGAATCAAGGTATCTTTGAAAGGGTTAACTATTTCAGTAGATGAAGGGAATGCATTGTGAAAATAACATAGTTTAATTGTTAATAAGGCTTTTGGCCCAGGACTCTGTGACATTTCATAAGCAAAATGGAGAAATATGAGTTGCATAAAATTACTGTTATATGGATATATCATTAGTTGAAAAACTGCAAACAGTGAGTAACTTTAAATCAATTGATGTCGTAATGGCAGGAGGTTTCTAGCAATTTCTCACTTTGTTCTGAGTCCAGTGCCTTTTTACAAATAACTTGGATTCAGGAACAGAAAGTTTTCTGACCAAGTTTGCAGATAACACAAACCTGAGAGGGGTTGCAAAGACTTGGGAGATTAGCATTAGAATTCAAAAGGATCTTTGCAAATTGGAGAACTGTGCTCCAGCCCAGTGCTGCTTAGTGCGGGAGTCAAGCAGTACAGACATGCCTACACTTGGATTTACATGCTGCAGACTTCTTCTGTTCATTCTTGTGGGTGTCAGTGCTTACCCCATAAATACTTCCTAGAACAGGGATAATGTTTGTTTTTATAAATGCCCATGTCCTGTGGGGCTTACACAACAGTAACTAATCATTCTAAAATAGTACTCAGACAACTCAGAAGGGCATGACAAAAGAACTGAAGCCTGATGAAATAAGTAAATATTAACAATATTGATAGTGCTTGCATGTGATGGGAATCCCTAAAAGCCAAAGGAAAACAAAACAAAATGTGATTAATCAAAATTCCCAAGGTCCGTGTCCTCAATTACCTCCTACTTTCACTTATATAATGAGAGTTTTAGCTGGACAATCCTTTCTCCGTCCTGCTACAGCTTTTGAAAAGAGCAGATGGGGAAAAATGGGAAGTATTGACGCTTGACAGCACGTTCAGGTGGAATGGGGGTAACCTACAGATTGCTTAAGCAAAAATCTGAAGGGATAGTCAGAAAGAGAGAGTCTCTCTCTCTCTCTCTCTCTCTCTCTCTCTACATTAGAGGCAAAAGGGAACAAGGAAGGTTTTTGTGGTTTTCCATGGAAACCCTTACCTTTTACATTCTGCTAGGGTGCTTGGGAGACAAGAACCTGTTTGGCTTTTGAGCACTTTTTGAGTTAAGAGGTATATTCAGTTACACATACATTGCTTGAATTCTTGTTTGTATCCTGGGATGGAATGGGTTAGTACAAACAGCCAAGCTGTGCCTGAACGGTGCCTAAACGCTTTACTAACGCACCTCTGCTTCCTGATTAAACTCCTGTATAAGAAATTACAAATTTGATATTCTTTTAAAGACTTTAAACACATGTGTAGCAGCAGCCATTGTTCTTTCTTATCTAGGGGACTTGGACTGAATGGTTTCACCTTGAAAGGTCTTGTTGAAATACCTCCATTTGTTTTTCATGTGCCCATCCAATTTTCCTAACTAGGAGACTGAAAATTTCAACGCATACCGCCTATGTGGGTAATTCTCAAGCTTATTAAAGACAACTGAAACTCTCAACTAATTTCTGAATCAGGAATGACCTAAGATATCACCTCTTAGAAAACTATGGACCCAGTGCAGCCAACAAGGAAACTTATTTTTGGTCCTTGACTATCTGACTACAGTACAAGAAACTCTGTGTTTATGCCACTAAGTTTGTATTCTGTAAGAGGGAAGTACACAGCAGATGCCAAGAAGAAAACCATGCTGGGGCATGTGAGTTAACTTTACTGAAGGTGAAACCAGAGTTAAGAAAACCTCTTTTTTTCTGACACTGACAGAAGAATCACTTTTCTGACATAAGTGGTATTCTTGTCTGTCTCAGTACAGGTGTTTCACAGATAATGATGACTGGGGACCTTCAGGTCATGAAAAACTAATAAAAAATAAAATACCTTGGACTGCTTTCATGGTGGAGTTTACCTACGTTATCGCTGTACCTTGATGTTGACTAACAGTCAGTTGCCACAGCTGTGGCAATAGGAGGTACAAGAAGATCTGCCTGACAAAGCAGCTGAGAAGAGAATCCAAAGAGGAACGGAACTGCATGTCATCCATTGCAGGTGCTGGATTTATTTTCTGGATCCTCAGGATGACATTGCTGAGATATATGTTCATTCAGCTCCTCTGGGCTTACTCTTCTCAGGCAGAAGGTAAGGTATGAAAAGCATCAAAATATTCAGTTATTTTGAGTAGCTCCATTGCAAAGAATTTCTTTGGAACGAAATGATATAAGAAAGTGTCATCCAAAATAAAAGAAAACTGTGAGTTTGAGTGGGGCTCAGAGTAGAGGGATAATAAATAATTATGGGTCACTTATACATTTGTCCTTGCTGAGCTGCTTATTATTGCTCATGTTATTTGTTTGAAACCCTAGATATTCTGACTTTATTTATGCTCACTATTATATACAGTACAGGCAGTCCTCACAGTTATGGTGGGTTACGTTCCTGGAAAAGGCGCTGTAAGTCAAAAAGATTCAAGTCGAATCTGATTTTCCCATAGAAACAATGTTATACGAGGGGGTTACGTTCCTGACCAAGTGCCTGATGCCCAACATTTTATAGAAATAACCATAAACACCATATTTAAATCAGCTATTTAATTTTATTTAATCAGAAGGTGAAGGAACACCTTCACCAGGGTCAAGAAACTTACGCGTCACAGCACATCAGGAAGCAGACTGACTGGGTGACGTACGGCACTGGATCCTTGCACTTATGGCATGATGGCATGATGTTTGTGCACTGCCTGAGTTGCCGTCATGCCGTAAGTGCGAGGATCCAGCAACATAAGTAATAACATGGGTGTAAATGGCGGAGTGCCGCAAGTGCTAATCACCATAAGTCGACACACCCTAATTCAAGGACTGCCTGTATACGTCTTACTCCCCTACTATCCTCCTCAAGTAGCTACTTACATGCCTGCATGCTTCTATTTGGTACTAAATATGAAGTAGCTTATTCCACTGTTACTGAAAAGTTACCTTACTAGGGGATGACCATGTGACTAGTTACAAAGAAGTAGATGACACATTTTACAATCAGCATATTTTATACCACATTACCAAATGGGATGCCTATAAGTTCATGTTTCTTAATGTGTTTCCTTAAAGCTATAATGCTTATATGGTAACTATTCTTCAACAAAATAAATTCACAAGTCTGCATAATGCCTTGTAATGTTACTATGACTTAGGACAATAAGAGAATATATTACTCATTTTTCTTAACATCAAGGAGTTGACAGTAGAGGAGTTTAGGCATGTAAGTCTGTCACCTAGGCATGAGTGAGATCTTCAAAACCCCTCATAAGCTTGGACTTGACCCTATGGATGCCTAATGGCTCTTCTATTGGAGGACCTGATTTTGTAGGAAATATCAAAGCAATTAAGGACTAGATATTTCAGGCAATCCCAAGTATTCCGTGTGTAGGGTATTTTTGGGTAGGAAGGGCTGGAAAATTGGAGAGTCACCTTCAAGTCCAAGTTCTAATGAATAGTTAATTGCTACAAGGTGGAACACATGAGAGCCTGAGAGAAACCCAACTCAAGATCTCCAGTAGCTGGTGGTTAGGGCCCTCTTCTGAGATGTGGGAGATCTGTCCTCAGATCTCTTCCCCAAATATAATTAAGTGAATTCTTGAAAACAGGTTCCCCACCTATCAGGAAAGCATTGTAACCACCTATTAATAATATCTGGATACTTTTTAAAAAGACTGAGGCTTCACAGTTATGGTGTTACAGGTTACCTTTAAACCATCATAAAGGCACTTAAAATAGGAGCATTCATCCATTTAAGGGTGTTAACCATGCTAAAACCCCTTAAAAATTTTAAAGATATGCCAATTCAAGAGAAGGCTTTCTGATTTGTTTTGTTCAGTTCATTCCAGGGTACTGTTAGTCTTCTCCAGGGAGATTAAATGCTGTATTTTGATTCCTCCAGCATCCCAGGATGTACCATTCCCAGCCCTTCACACACCTTTGCTCTTGGGCAAACTTTAAATGTCCCTGAACTCTTCTGTCAACAGAATAGCTCTAGCCCCAAGCCAACATCCCCTTCTGCCCTGCAACTGTGAAGCCTCTGACAACTTTAAATGCTCCAGTGCAGCTCACCAATTTACTGCTTGCTCTAGCTCCCTGTGCAGTTCGCTATCTGCCTCAAGAGGATCAGATAAAAAGACAATTAACCACTAATGAGAATTGGCAATTGGATTTTAGTGCTGGGAAACCATCTCATTCACCAGTCACCTGCCTCTCTCCACTGCTGCTGCTGAATGCACCTTGGCTCAGCTTCTCGCCCCCCACACTGAATTTCACCTCTGATCCACCATGCCATGTATGCAGGCAGCCTCCAGGGTCTCAGCTTTTCCCCAGTGTGGTATGCAGTGAACTCACTTGGTCTTAGCTCTACCTTGGTGTGGCATGCATTCCACAAGACCACTGGGTCTCAGCTCTGTCCCCATGTGAATACTAACCCATGACCCAATTCCAATTCAGTGAAATATGTGCAAGAATTTGGTCCTTTTATTGTTCTATTTTTCACTCCTTTCTCTCTACTTATTTTTCCTTGTTTCCCCTGCCCACTTACTTCAAACATTTTTTCCCACCAAGTCAGAGCTGGCTTCTGCTCGCTGTAGACTGAGGGAAGCCACATGGTAGTTTCTCCACCTCTAAGCTATATGTTACCATCTCTCCTCTCCCACCCATGGAGGGATAGAGTCCTGGCTCCTCTCCATGCCTCTTCTCTTCAGACCCTGTAGTGGCAAGTCACAATCCTGCAGGTCTGAGATGGCATTAAATCTTACCCTGTGATTGCTCTGAAACTGTTCTAACTTTGACAGCTTTAAAATGTTTTAAAGATAACCTGTAACAGAACCCTAAGAAATGAAAAGAGGTGCTTGACTTTTGATGGGCAAAACTTGAGTTCCACCCATCTTCTCGTCATTTCTTACTGACTGGGGCAGGCAGTTTCCTGTTCAGCCAGTCGGCTTTAGTGAATTCCATTCTTAGCACCCTCACTGTCCCTTTGAATTGTATAGTCAAGGGTCTACCTGAGTCTGGTTTGTTGGCCTTAGTTGCACTGGCTTCTGAAGTAACACTAAAGAGAAAAAATGTGCCGAGAAGGGCTATGCAAATCAGCACTGTTCTGATTCGACTTCCGTTTTGATGATTCGACAGAACAGTGTTTCATGTCGAGTTTCATTTCATTTTGAAAGCACTGTTCTATTCTGTTGAAACTGTTTTGCTGTTTCAACGCTGTTTCAATGTTTTGCCCGTAGGTTATTATTGGGAAAAATAAAATGCAACAGGCAGGCAGGTTGGGAGCTCGCCCGCACCCCCAGGAGGGCTGCGGGGGCTGTGTCAGAGTCCTCCCGGGGGTGCGAGGCCCCAGCCTGCCTGCCAGATGACAGACTGGCACTGGACACAGCTGTATCCAGCACCAGGGAGATTGGTACTGCCACTGGCCCTGGGTGGCAGCACCTGGCTCCTGCCATGCGGCAGGCAGATTGGGGGCATGCACCCCTGTACAAGACATGGCTCAAGGAATGTCTGGGGCCTGGGGTACATCAGCTCATGCAGGGACCCTCCTCCACCCTGGGATCAGGGTGGAGGGTCCTTTCATGGGCTGAGGTGCCCTGGCCCTGCTGGCCCCAGGTGGCAGCACCTGGCTCCCATCAGCTGGCAGGCAGATCAGGGCCCCATGGGCACCACCAGAAGGCTTGTGGAGGCTGTGCTGTAGTCCTACCAGGGGGGTGTGCCCCTGATATGCCTGTCGGCTGACAGGAGCTGGGTGCTGCCGCCTGGGGCCAGCAGCATCACTGATCTTCCTGGTGTTGGGTGCGGGCTGTGCCCAGCACTGGCCTCCATCCCCAGGAGGACTCCGGCACAGCCCACACAGCCTTCCCAGGGGTGCAGGCAAGCCCCCAGTCTGCCTGCCAAATGAGAGGAGCCAGGTGCTGCTGGCTGGGACTGGCACTAAAGCCAGTAAGCCTGAAAGTTTTGAAATGTTTTGAGTTCTCTTGTCTCATTTCAAAGCTGTTTTAAAGGCTTTTGTTTCATTTCAGTTTCACTGTTTCAAGCTCAAAATGCATTGAAACAGCTTTGAAACAAAGCACCGGGTGAAATTTCACACAGCCCTGGTGGCTAGTATCACACCCGGTCACATTTTTCTCTTCAGCCAACCTGACCAGGTATCCATACACATCTGGGCCAGCTATGGATGGCCTTTAGCACTACTGTAAAGAGAAGCTCTCATTTGAACCTCTATAGCCCTCATGAGATGCTTTAAGCATTATGCAGTGGCACCCCAGTGACTAATTCAAGGCTGAGGACAGTTTTAGGCACCAGAGTATGGCAATGCCTAAAGCTTAAAGTTTTATATATAGAGTGTATTCAAATGTCTTAGTTATACGTTGATATTTTGTTTATTAATTTAGAAGCCTATAACAGAATCCAATATCATGAAAAAAGCATAGACTAGATAAACTGGAGAAAGTTGACAGAGAAGAGCAAGACTTATGTAAGACTCATGACTTTACATAGGCCAGCATACCCTGAGAAATATGCATATTGGCCTATGTAAATATCCAATGGTGGAGTTTGCTCCCAATGAGTTACTGTATTTACTCAAATATAAGACAAGATTTTTTCCCCCCAACCAGCAGTGGGGGGTGGGGATTAAATACATAGTCAGAAACAGCATGTGTTCAGTATATGAAGTTGATTGAATGCAGCCCTCACTGAAAGTGCCTGTAAAACACATGGTCTATACTGGGGAAATAGACCCTACCATAAGCCTAGTGGCTAGTGAAACCCATCTGAATAGGGTATAGTGCCCATTATGCAAATTCCCTATCAGCTCTGACTCTTTTTCAAGTCATGGTGAGCCACTACAGTACATACATTCTTCCTTCCCACAGCTGAGCAGCACCCTTTTCCCTCATTTCCAATGATTCCTCTTTCTTCACCAGGTTTAAAGGTCTGACAAATATCACCAAACTTCTGTCTAGATGAGAGGCTCTGGCACCCTGTCTCTTGGCCCATCACATATGATTAATGTGGCTTTGTCCTCCATAAGGTAGAACTGGACCAGGCAGCCCCATACCTCCTATGCAATTATTTTTTTGAGGATCCCAGGACTTATGACAGGACTGCCTTGTTCCAGTCATGAGTGGGGTGCTAATTAGCACATGGATGCTTGTGGAGGTGTTTTTTGGAGTACATATACTGAACAGTGCTGGGCTGTGGGGTTACCATGGTTTGAAACACTGTTAACTCTGCTGGGGCCCAGCCCAATGAACTATATGGTAAATCATGAGCCTTTGACTTTAAACTTTTATCATGCATAGTTTGTACTAAGTATAAGTAGGTATAAAAGTGGTGCTGAGCATGTGTATGAGGCATCTGTGCTGAAACTTGTAGCAATTTGTAAAAAATGTAAAATGCACCAATTCTGGATGAACTAAGTCTATGGGTACCCATGGTAATTTTCCTATATGCAAATTACTACAGTTATGTTTATTTCAAGGTCAGTAAGCTCATCTACACGAGACTTTTACTGTGGAGTTGACCATTTAGCTTTGCAGTAAACGTCTCACATTTACACATGCATTGGTATTAGGCAGAAGTAAACTAATTAACTCACCAGCAATGTAGTATTTGTAAATACAAGTACTATCCTGCAGGCTGACCCCCTGGGCCTCCTACCAGCTTAGGTTGCCCTGAACCAGCATAATGTGCTGCAGTCCTGGGTGCACATTTAAATGGTGTACCTGGGTACACCAGAGTTTATTGCTTCATATTAAGAGCATATGTAGACGTGCCTAGTGTTTTCAAATTTGCCCCTCCCTTCTACATACTGATGGAGGAAACAGTGCACAAGCAGGGTATGACAGTAAGGGAGGGGGAGGAGTTGCAAGGGGGAGAAGTTGGGTGGGGACAGAGGGCAAGGGGGCCACATGCCCCCTCCAATTAATTTTCTCTGCTGTAGCAGTTGGAGAGGAACAAATTCAAGCAAACCTCCAATAATGTGATTCTATACCTGTAAAATTATCGAAAATGTATACATTTTCTATATGTAGACTCTAATTATGGGGCATTGTCTTAAATTCAGGGTTGCCTTAGATTCACATAAATATATTATTGTCCTTTCAAGGAATATCTGAGAACTTTTTCCCTAGATTACTGCAGTTAGAGAAATATGGGAAATGAAAGATATAAAACTGATCAAGTTTGTTGTAGGCAGTTTAGTCAGATAGCCCTATGTTGGATTTTGAATGAGTCAGCATGAAATAGTTGGCATGGTCAAGGCCTGCTGCAGTTGTCTAACATTCTCTAACTGAGTTAAATTCAGGTTTAGCTACCAAAAGAAGAACATATGACTGTGGAATATTAGTGTATAAATTGCCCACAATCAATAGCCATGGGAGTTCTAGGTGGGTCCTTGGTCTGCGACCTGCAGGCAGCAGATTTGCAGCCTGGTGAAGAGACTCCTTAAACAATTTCCTCTTGTGTCTGCCTGTTAGAGTAGGGTTACATACTTCTCATAAAAATGATATCTGAGTACACAATAAATTTAAATTTGCTTTCAATTCAATGTTCAGTTACAGTAATTCGGTATTTTTCTCTACTTTAATGTTTAATTGTTTTCTTCTGACAATATTATTTTACAATTCAGATTCATTTTCAAATATAGCCTTATTTTTACAGTGATAAAGTGTCTGCCAGTAACAGCTCCAGAAAATGGAAGAATTGTCACATATAGTATATTCACATATGTCCAGAATAACCATTTATTTTGTGTTAATCAAACTGTATTGATGCCCTGATCTTCAATTCATGCTGTATGTGAAGAAAACAGTATAATCCAGGGAAATAAAATAATTCCATGGTAATGGATTAATGTTAGGCTTTCATTGTAACCTGTACATCAACGGTCACCAACCAGTGGATCTCGATCCACCAGTAGATCTTAGAGCCTCTTGCGGTAGATCTAGGAGACTCTTGGAGTTGATCCAAGCTTGGGGTGGGGGGTTGAGTGCCCACGTGCATGCATGTGTGCCTCAGCCCAGCAGGTTAGTCTGTGGGGGAGGGGAGGGAAGGGGCGGGGGCTAGATTCAGGCCCCCCTAGTGAGAGACATTGCTGCAGAGGTTGGAGCAGGGGTAAATTGAGGGGAGGCCCAGGCCTGGTGGGACTTACTTGCTGGGGAGGTGTACCCCCAAATATTTTTTTCTCCCTCTGCCTCGATCTGTGCCCTCCTTCCCTCCCCACAGACTTATCTGCTGGGCAAGAGGAATGAGGGGGTAGCAGTTCATGGTAGATTGTGGGTTGCTTTTAAATGCCAAAGGTGATCTCCTACTTAAAATGTTAGGAAAGGTTAGCAAAAATGGAAGATAAGAGTAATTAAAACCAAAAATATTTAACATATTTTGCCCATACCCAATAAGAGAGAGACTTTCCAGAGTCCAAACATAAGCTGAATCATATTTCTTATTGTGCATTAACACAGTAGTATGGTAATTTCCATTCAGTCACACCTAAGTTGTTACACATTGTTTTACTATTATATTCAATGGTGGAACTAGGGTAAATGGGCCAACGACCCCAGATGCTGACTTCAGAGGGTGAAAAAAAATGGCTGTTGCTGTTAGCTGAGTAATCACACTGAATTTAGGATGCATATCCTTTGGGGTTATTTGTTTAGTAAAGCACATAACACATTTGAGGGAGGGCTCTTAAAATATGCCTTAGCATCCTTCGAAAGAAAGGGGTTTTTATGCCATTTTTAAGTATTAAAACATGGTAAATTTTATTTGACCTGAAACAGTGTCTATGAAAGAGCACTTTTGTTATTTCTTGCTTCTAGGCATATCCATGCTTTAACACCACACCTGACAACAGAATCTAAGTTCCTTTTAATCTTGCAAGAAAGCTCATACCAGTCTCCCAGCTTCTGAAATTAAATGAGTCAGACATTTGCTCATGTGGTTTTAACAAGGAAATTAAGACTGAGCCCCTGCTGTGTTTTGACTGATAACCTAAACATCAGTGCACTTACCAGTGAGAGAGGAATCCTAGCAGAGGAATCCCTCCTCTCAAAACTGATGTATGCATTTTATCCAAAGATTATTTCTTGGAAAATGTGTAAGTAGTCCTGGGAGTAAGGATTTAGAACTTAACTTCCTGTTGCAGCCCAGCTCAATGTGCTGCAGTCCAGGCACATGTATAAACTGCCTGCCTAGGAGCTTCGTGGAAGCAATAAACTGTGGAGCAATATGTTTTGCAATTTTCTGCTGCCCCCTAATGGCGTGTGTAGATGTGCACCAGAGCTCCATAATTCAGTTAATGCAGTATTCAAATGATAGTGTTAAGCTGGGGAGAAAAAAGACCTATGAGAATTCACAACATTATTATTTCAGTTTCTTTCATGTATCTCATAATAGTTTATTTTGAACCTCTGTTTTTTCCAGTGCAACCTTGTGACTACCCACAGGTAGAAAATATTGAATTAAGTGGCTATTATCAAAGCAACAGAGAACGAGCCTTTCCAGCAAAGACAGGGTCATCAATGTACTACAGGTGTGCCCAGGGTTATGTAACTGCAACTGAGGAAAATTGGGTTTTAATCAGATGTACAAGAGATGGCTGGGATCCTGCACCAAAATGTATAAGTAAGTAAATGTAAAATTGTGTTATTGCCTCAAATCCTCCTTCACTATGATTACTAATCTCAAGCAGAGAAATGGTGGTGATTGAATAAAGTTGCTCCCTTATTCCCCTGCACTCCACCAGTAAGACTGTCACTGAAGGACATGAGTATGTCTCTTTCGAAAGGAGTGCCTCACACAATAGGCAGCAGCCATAGAGGGTTGGGTTTTGGAGAAGACTTTTGTTGTCTGTTCTTTTAGTTAACCTGCTCCCTCCCCTGTGCTGGCCCTTGTCACCTCCCCTGACATTTCTACCCCTGTAGCAAGGGGATGGGGAGGCTGTGATACCCCTTTGAGAGCAATTGAGTTATGGAGAGGTACTTGGGCCTAGCTAACTGAACAGTTATGGATAAGGATTGTGTATAACCTGTTGGGTAGAGACCCACAGGGGATGGGTGCTGTAGGTTGTAAAACCTTATGACGAGGAGAAAAATAATGAAATGGATATGGTGTTTACAGATGTTTTTGTTAACTTGAAATGCTTAGAGGGAATTGTTTTCCCTTCTGTCCCCCTTGAGTCTGTGCATGTGCGTCTTCTGTGTGTTTATGTTTCTGTACATATGTTTGTCTGTGCATGCATAGAAACATGCACGTGCACTCACTGACATATGGAAATGTATTATTTCCAGGACAGTTTCTGTGGCAGTTTCTGTAGCAGCTACTGTTTGGGCTCAGTCTGATTTTCCCTTCTGAGGGCTACTTCTTGATGGTAAAGCTGGGGAGTACTGCTTTCAGATGCTCTGAATGCAAAGTGATGCCAACCCATAATATTCCATTTTGCAGCACTCCGTATGTAGAAGACATGTATTTAAGGTGACCTATGTGGCTGATCGAGGACTTCTGTAATGTCAACAGAAAATTCGACTGGCGCATGAAGCACCTAGTCAGCCCTATGGCACATCATTTTTCCACTTCAATTTCTCATTCCAAACTCTGTCATTACTACTTGGAAAACCTTTCACATTTCACTCTGATTCAAAGAAAGGCTACAAAAAGCCGGGTGTTTTTCACAATCATGCACAAGCTACAAAAGCTACAAGATGCAGGATGGCCAGGGTAAGGGTGAATCTATACACAGCATTGATGTAGACCTTGTAAAGGAACACTTTGAGAAGCTGGACACCTTCAAGTCAGCGGGTCTTGACAGATTGCACCCCAGAGTACTTAAGGAGTTGGCAGCAGCCATAGGCCAGCCACTGGTGAAGATTTTCAAAAACTGCTGGAGCTCAGGTGTAGTACCTGAAGACTGGAAGAAGGTCAGTGTGGTGCCCATCTTAAGGAAAGGGAGGAAAGTAGATCCAGGGAACTACAGGCCAATCAGCTTGACCCCAATCCCTGGAAAGATTCTGGAAAAAATCATCAGAGACCATTCTTGATAAGCTGGCTGATGGCAACATCCTAAGGGAGAGACAGCATGGGTTTGTTGCAGGTAGGTCTTGCCTGACCAATCCCATCTCCTTCAAGGATCAGGTGATGGACCTGGACAAGGGAGAAGTGACTGACGTCATATATCTGGACTTTAACACAGCCTTAGATCTGGTGTCCCATGATCTCCTCTTGGAAAAATTGGCCAACTGTGGCCTCGGCTACATCACAGTCTGGTGGCTGAGGAATTGGCTCTGAGGCCAGACTTAGAGAGTGGTGGTCAATGGAAATGAATAAAGATGGTGCTCCATGATCAGTGGTGTCCCCCAAGGCTCTGTCCTTGGACCTGTTCTCTTTAACATCTTTGTCAACAATGTGGATACTGGTGTCAGAAGTGGACTGGCCAAGTTTTCTGATGACACCAAACTTTGGGGTAGAAAGTCCACACACCTAAGGATAGGCTAGTGATCCAGGCTGACTTGGATAGGCTAAAAAGTGGGCAGATATAAACCTGATGACATTCATTACCGACAAATGAAAGGTACTCCACCTGGGGACAAAAAACCTTCATCGCGCTTATAGGCTTGGCAGTGCTATGTTCGCTAGCACCAAGGCCAAAAGAGACCACAAGATGAACATGAGCCACCAATGTGATGTCACAGCTGGTAAAGCAAACCAAACTCTGGCTTGCATCTGTAGATGCTTCTCAAGTAAACCTCAGGATGTCATCCTCCCACTGTACTCAGCCTTGGTGAGGCTGCAGCTGGAGTACTGCATCCAGTTCTGGGCTCCACAATTCAAGGAGGATGTGGAGAAACTTGAGAGTTCAGAGGAGAGTCACGTGCATGGTCAGAGGACAGGAGAAGAGGTCTTATGAAGAGAGGCTGAGAGCCATGGGACTCTTCAGCCTCGAGCAGCCCAGACTCAGGGGTGAGCTGGTGGCAACCTATAAGTACATCAGGGGTGTGCATCAAGATCTGGGGGAACGTCTGTTCAACAGAGCACCCCAAGGGATGACAAGGACCAATGGTCACAAACTCCTCCAAGACCATTTTAGGCTGACCATAAGGACAAACTTCTTTACTGTACAAGCCCCCAAGGTCTGGAACAGGCTTCCTTCCTTCAGAGGTGGTGCAAGCACCTACTCTGCACTCCTTTAAGAAGTGTTTGGATGCTTATCTTGCTGGGATCCTTTGACCCTAGCTGACGTCCTGCCCTTGGGGCAGGGGACTAGACTCGATGATCTCCCAAGGTCCCTTCCAGCCCTAACGTCTATGAATCTATGAGTCTATGAAAAACAAAGCTAGTTTAACCATTCAAAGCTCTTCAAGAATCTTAAAGATTGATTTAAATTTTAAGATTCATAAATACCATGAAAATAACAATCTATTCCCAGTGAACATTTCATCTACCCCTATATAGAAAATTGTTCTTTATAGACACAGCTAGTGTCCAAATAAGTCTCAAAGAATATCATAAAGGCATGGCCTATACCTGAAAACATGGACAGCCACTAGAATAATGTACAGTCATGGGTAGCACCATATAAATAGACTGTGAAAACCATATTTTAATTTCTCCTATGAAGGTATCAATGGTGCTGTCTTCCAGATATAGCCAAAGGTAGAACAAAAACGGTAGCTCCCTGTACTGCACTGACACAGTAATAAACAATCTCTGTCCCAAAGAGCCTGAAATCTAAATAGGTAAGATAAAGAGTGTGAGAGAAAGGCACAGAATTTTTAAGAGTTTATAGAACAAATCCAGGACAGAGTCAGGATGGAAAAACAGTCCATGACCCCCAATCCTGTCCTTTAGACCACTGTTTCTCCACAGTAAATCCCAAAAGGCCATTGGGAACTGGATAGGAGTCATAAGGTATTGAACCATTTATGACAGCCTTAAGAAATGGAAATCCAACAACCCTACTTATTGCACATTCTTTACTTTGAACTAGGGCTCACTAACTTGGTCAGTTTGAGAAACACAGAAGGAGACTGTGTTACCTCTTGAAATTACATGCACATAGGGTATATCTACATGCACAAATAAGCGGGAATACATTCAATGTGCATTAAGCTAATGCAAATTAAGTGATATTTAGCAGGTGTCTGCATGTTCAGAGCCTTGGGACTAATTTTAGTCCCAAGTCCCTCCAGTGCTGCCATGTGCCCCTGTGGCCATTGGGAGGAGCTCCAGCCTTCTGCTACATGGCTGCCACCACTTGGCAGACATGTTGAAGCCAGACCCAAGTGCCAGCACTTGGCAGCCATCTTGGAAACTCTGATCCCTGGCCAGCTCCTATTCTGCCCAGGAATTGCGTGCCCAGCACAGGGGCAGCACACGGCACCTCCCTCCTTTCCCACCCTGCCTCCCTGCACCAGGGATGATCCAGCCCCTGCCCTACAATACCCATGCCCATTCCTCCTGCTTTCCCCCTCAACCAACAGTGCCCCTCCACCACCCTTCCCTCCGACCAACAATAAAAAGCCTGCTTACAAGTGGGAAACTATATACAGGTTGGAAACTATATACAATAATTTGGGTCTTCAAGTCCAGAATGGGGAGCTATGAGGGGGGAGGGGGGACAGGAGCTTGGGGGGCAAAGTCCCAGGGCAGGTGTTCAGCACCCCAGTTCCTGGATGTTCCCCCATGGGTCCAGGGGTTACAGTGACCCCAGTGGGTGGTGGCCTCATGTGCAGCAGGTTCTTTATCCATGTAGTGTGTGGAAAGTAGTGGTTCCGGCCCAGGTGGGAGGTGGCAGGGCCAAGATAGAGGCCGGGCCAGTGGGTGGGAAGGAGGTGCCCAAGGATCTCCTCTCAGGGCCAGGCAGGGGCTTGCTGTGGGGTGGTAGGCAGGGCCCAGGGATCAGGGGCTAGGCAGTGGGGGACATGTATGTGGGGACCAGGGCCAGGAGGATGTCCATGGCCTAGTGGTTGGTGTCCCCCTGCTGCCAAAGCTGCTCCAGGTGCTCCCACTCCAGGGCCTCCATGCGGGCCCAGTGGTCCCTCTGTGCCCAGTCCTGTGCCTCTGCCTCAGCTATGTCCTCCTCACTTCAGGCTTCCTCCTGTGCCTGCTCCCTCACCTCCCACTCCTCTGCCACTGCCACCAGCTGCTGGAATAGGAGAGTCTGGTTCCTAGTACACCACTGGCACACTGCTGGGTGGCTCCAGTGATGGGTGGTAGCAACCTGGATACCGCATCCCCACTGGGTGGGGCTGGTGGATTCTTCTCGGTGCTCAGATGTTGGCCCTGCAGAGGCAAGAGACAGAAGCCTTTTGTGAGAGCTTGCAACATTTCAGAGATAAGATGGGCTGTACCAGGAGTCATGCGCTTCCCGGTCTCAAATCACAGGTTGGCCATGCATGGGTGTCCAGGGACCATTTTAAGCTGGCTGGGCAGGCAGATGCATATTAAGGTATGTTGGAGCCCTGGACAAACACAAAATTGGAGGCCCCCTCCCTGCCTCAAGCTAGGCTGCAAGCAGGGGATGGGCCCCTTACCCTCCAGGTATTGGCAGGGGAGGCTGGGTGGACCCTGCCAGGCTGGGGAAGGTGGGGCACATGCCCACCTCGTAGATTCATAGATGTTAGGGTTGG